GACGAACGCCCACTACCACCCGGGTGTGGGGGAGAAAGAAAAGAATAGCAAATGGAGTCCGACGACTTGGGACTAACTCGGCTGCCCCCACCTTCTAGTCCACACACCCGCGCGCGCACACACGGGCACGCACACACATTCACACAGAGAGAGAGAGAGAGAGACACGCGCGCGCCCGCCCGCAGTTCCTTCCCCTTCAATGGCTGCTGCGAGACTGAGCCTCCATGACACGGCACCGCCAACCCCCTGGCCTACGCTCCACCCACCTCCCGACTGCATTGGCCGAGCCTTTAGCGTCGCGCCACTCCATTGGCTTAGAGGACTGCCCATCCGTCGTTAGGGGGGCCCCGGACCAGAAACTCGGGGTCTATTGGCTCTGAGCAAGCGCGCAGTTAATTCCGATAGGTCCGGGAGGATGTACGTCCCGGAGAAACGATTTTGAATCCCAGTCGCCCCCCTCCTTTTCTTTGTGTGATTGGCGCGCTTTCCCTCGCTAGTGGGACGGTTTGGCTGTCTATTGAATTTGTTTTTGTTTGTTTGAGGGCTTTCTGGCTTCGGGGTTAGAGGAAGGGAAAGGGCGTCGCTGGCGTCCCCAGGGTGTAAGCGGGTCGGTCATCCAGCGCACCGCACTCCAGAGCTTTCGGTAGTCTTAAAGCACAAGCTCCCTGCTATGCGGCTTACCCAGTGAGCCAGGGACTCAACGCAAGAGCAGCGAGTTCGGGACACCTCCCCGTCTCGAACGGCCCTGGCGTTCACCAGAGCGTGATAAAGAAGGTATTTTAACTTCCACTGTCAAAGGCGAAACGACTCTGGAAGCAGTTGAGTTTAGCACGTTGAGTCAGAAACCTTTAAATAAAACTGTCCTGTGGGAGTTGATACTGAGGTCATTTGTCGCTGGCAAATAGTTGGGACCTTGGAGGAAAAGCAGCACGGGCCTAAAGAAAACACAATTTCCAATTTCCCATTTCCCTTTGGTAAGTTTCCTGCAGAAATCTACTTAAAGTGTTCTTTTAAAGTGTATGTGAGGCACTGAAGAGACGATGTCCTCTTGCAGAGGACCCTGGTTCTGTACCCACATGAGGGCTCCCAATCATCCATAACTACAGTTCCAGGGAATTCAATAGCCTCTTTTGACCTTCACAGGCTCCAGGGCCAGATGTGCGTGTGCATACATTAAAGCAAAACACTCAAATACATTTTAAAAAGAAAGTCTACTTAATGTTTCTGTAATTCGAAGCATAATGGTACACACGAAGCATAATGGTCACAGACCTCCGAAGGGAGAGGCAGGCAGAACTGCCTGGTATACAAAGTGAGTTCTAGGCCAGCCTCTATCTCAAAACAAAAACTGAAAACCTAAGTAAGAAATGAGTACTGAGCCGGGCGTTGGTAGTGCACGCCTTTAATCCCAGCACTCGGGAGGCAGAGGCAGGCAGATCTCTGTGAGTTCGAGGCCAGCCTGGTCTACAGAGAGAGTGCCAGGATAGGAAAGCTACACAGAGAAACCTTGTCTCGAAAAACCAAAAAAAAATGTAAAATAAAATGAAAGATAGAGTGCTGGGATTAAAGGCGTGTGCCAACATCGCCAAGCTTCTTTACACTTGTTTACTTATTTTGCGATGTATAGGAAGTCAGAGGACAGCCTGCAGGAGTCAAGTGCTTTCCTTCCACTGAGCTAGTTCCTGGGTTCAAACTCAAGCTGTCGGGTTTGGCAGCAAGCACCTTTACCTGCTGAGCCACCTTGATAGACATCCTCTACAGTTTCATATTCCTACTAGGCATAAGATACAATAAACAGATATCTGCTCATCTAACCCCTGCTAGGATAGTTAACAATAATAATGTTATGTATGTAGCTAGACACTGAATTTATAGACTATCCATAAACACAACAAAGCATGGTAAGTGGATCTTTGGTCTTTAAGCTTGTATCTACTTTTCCTGGCCTATGCTAAAAGAATATGAATTCATCTAGTTCCACAGCAATCTAGCCTACAAATCCAATGTACACAGTTACAAGACAGACACATTCAATGCAAGAAACCTAGCTATAGAATTTTCATATGCTCTTCTGTTATACAGTTAATAAGTATATTTTCCTACTTATTAATAAATTTATTTTTTGCCAAGGTTGTTAGGATGATTGAACTTCCTCATCAACTTGGTTGGATTTAGAATCACCTAGAGGGTATGTCTCCGAGAGTGTTTCCAGAGAGATTTAACTGATGAGAGTAAACCAGGATGGCCTTGAACTCACAGAGATCCATCTGCCTCAGCCTCCCAAATGCTGGGATTAAAGGTGTGAGCCACCACCGCCCTGGTTTGGGTGGTAGCATCTTACCTGCTGGGATCCCTGACCAAATTAAAGGGAGAAAGTCAATTTAACAGCAACATTCATATATCTCTAAGATTATCTTAGTATTTAAATATTAAGTTTTTAAAGCAAGGCTCTGAGGAATGACATGTAAGGGTGTCTTCTGGCTTCCACATGTCTGTATCCACACACTTGCTTGCATCACAGCATGCACATATGCACAAAAACAAGAATGAGCTCTCGTATACATCTAGTGGGGATGACAACCCCTATAGTCACTGTGGGAAAGTTTGGCGGTCCCTTATATAGTTAAACATGCATTTACAGTATGACCCTTGTATGTCAACATTGAAAGTGGTTCAATACTGCAAACCTAGACACGGACCAGATGTTCTCCAGCTTGCCAATAAGTGAGCAAATGTGGTCTACACACAGAGAAACTCAGTGATAAAGTGTAGCAAATTCCCTATACCCAGCAACAGGAATGATGCTAAGTGTAAGAAGCCACATCCAAAGGATGTGTAATTTGATCCATAAGATGTGCTGAGGAAGCCAAAATTATAGGGTCAGAAAACAGTGGTTACCAAAGGATGAGTGTGGGAAGAGAAGTTAACTACAAAGGGGCCCAAGGGACTTATTGCAAGGGTGGTGGTGATGAAACTGTTCTGTATCTTGATTATGGGGTAAGTTACCCAATGGATTTGTCAAAACTCATGGAAGTGTGCACTAAAAAGGGTGATTTTACTGCATATAAATTATACCTCCTTTAGCCTGAATTAACTTTTTTTCAAGGTGAAATGTTGAAGGAAAAACTGCACTACTCACTTAAGAGTCCACTTCTCAGCAACAGCTGGACAAGTTTATAAATATATATGAATGAGAGTATTCTAATTGTTGTTAGAGGATAAAAACTGAAAATGACTTAGTCTAGATACAGAGGAAGGGTGAAATAGATTAGTCTGGGTCTGGGGGTATAGTTTGTTGGGAGAGCATTACTCAGCATGCAAAAGGCCCTAATGTTCAATCCATAGCACCAAACATTGAATAACTAAATATCATTCCCTTTCTTCTTCTCAGACTTTCACATGCCAGGCAAGCACTCTACCACCGAACTCTATCCTAAAACCTACATTTCACTTTTGAAACAGGGTCTCACTAAGTTGCTGTCCTAGTTTCTATTGCTAAGACTAAACACTATGACCAAAAAGCAAGTTGGAAGGGAAAGGGTTTATTTGGCTCACACTTCAGCACTGTAAAAAGTCATTAAAGTCAACTCCTGGGGGCAGGAGCTGATGCACAGGCCCCAGAGGGTTTTGCACACTGGCCTGCTCTTTATGGCTTGCTCAGCCTGCTTTCTGATAGGACCACCAGCCCAGAGATGGCACCACACACAATGGGCTGGGCCCTCCCACATCAATCACTAATTAAGAAAATACCTTACAGGCTTGCCTATAGCCCAGTCTCTCTCTCTCTCTCTCTCTCTCTCTCTCTCTCTCTCTCTCTCTCTCTCTCTCTCTCTTTCTTATTAATACACTATTTATTTGTCTTCTCTCTGTCAAACCCTGAGCCAAGCACTTTCCCCAGACCTCCTGGGGAGGTACAGGAAAAGGGACACACAGGGCAGACGGGACACAAAAGAACTACGGGAGGTGGAAGTGGAGACAGCAGCTTCACATGGTGAAGAAAGGCCACCATTAGGCAAAAGAGCCCCGTGGCCTCTGAGAGGGCAAAGCCCAGAATCGCCTAAGAGAAGAGCTGTTGCTTCAGAGAAGGGTTCCTGGCATAACCAATGATGAGGCTCCCCAAAACAGTCCCAATCCCAGCCCCAGAGCCAGCCCCCCCAACTGTAGCAGCCCCAGCCCCAATGAACTTGGCGGCTGTGTCGATGTCTCTGGAAATGACGCTGGTTTGGAAGGCGCGGCTAGGGATGAGTGAGGTTGGAGGCCGAGGGGCTGCCAAGCTGCTGAGGCCCTCATCCGTCCATGTCTGTGGTCGATTCAACTCCACTGCAGACAGGGGACGACTCAGCAGCTGAGAGGTGCTACTGATCAAGGAGCGGGTGGAGATGAACTTGGAGCAGGCATACATTTTTGGGGGTGAGGGGCCAAGGCAGGAGAGCTGCTCCCGGGGTAGAGAAGACAGAGAGGGCCCTATAGCCCAATCTTATGGAGTCATTTTCTTCATTGAGGCTCCCTCCTCTCAGATGACGTTAGCTGTGTCAAGCTGACATAAACTATGCAGCGCAGTTTTCCAGGCAGGTCTTAAACTTTCAATTCTCCTGCATCACCCACCCAAAGCAGCTGAGTTCAAGCCTGCCAAATCAGGCCTGGCAAAATTATGCTATTTCAATACTATAAAGTCATTGTGGCAAGGAAGGACCTATATTAATTGATAGAGAATAACTTTCACAAGTTATGCATATTCTTTATAAAATCTAAAATGTATATGCACCTAAAACATATGCATTTATATGTAGCGTCACAGAAAACAGTTCCTAAGATATCAGAATGTGGCTGTGGACATATATCGCAGTTGGTAGAGCACCTGCGTAGTCTGCAAAAAGCCCTGGGTTAGATCTCCCCGAGAAGGTAACCTAAGCATAGTGATATACCCTGAAGGCAGGCAGATCCTAAGTTAAAGGTCATCATCAGAAGGTTAGGCAGGCACAGTGGCAGAGTCATCTATCCCAGTACCTGGAAGGTAGAGGAAGATCCAAGGTTACATGCCAACCTGGGCTACATAGTGAGATTTTTGTCTCAGATTGACAAATAACAGAATGTAAGCCATGCTTGTTTCCAACCAGGAGAATTTTGAGAGCTATTACCTTTATTGCTGTTATTGCTTTATTATTATTATTATTTATTATTATTATTATTATTATTATTATTTTTTTTTTTTTTTTTTTGGATAGTCTTGCTAGGTAATCCAGGCTGGCCCCAAATTCATGATCCTCTTGCTACAACCACCCAAGAACTGGGAATCCAGACCTGTACCACAAAATTTTCAACTCTTCCTAATTGGGTGTTACTTGAAATTTTTATGGGCTGGAGAGATGGCTCTGGGGTTAAGAGCACTAACTGCGACCTCAACGTCCTTGTTGCTCGTCGGTCGGGTCCTCGAGGGCGGTGCGGGGATACGATCTGCAGCAATGATCCTCACCGTTTGAGTCTTGTATTGTGGAGCTTGAAGCTACAAGCCCAAGTATCTCCAGCTCAAGGAGAAGCTAGAACGTGAGTTCCCCGGATGCCTGGACATCTGGGCGAGGGGACTCCCCAGGTCACTGGGTTCTTTGAAGTGACAGTAGCAGGGAAGTTGGTTCACTCCAAGAAGAGAGGTGATGGCTATGTAGATACAGAAAGCAAGTTAGAAACTGGTGACCGCCATCAAAGCTGCCCTGGCTCAGTGCCAGTGAGCTCCGGCAGGGTCCTGGGACCTCCTGACAGCCGCCTTATGACAGGAAGGACTGAAATGTGTCAAAGACCTGTGGTGTTCCTGCGGCCACCAAGTCAGGCCAGATGTCTCCCATCTATTTACCTGCCTCGGTTTTCCTTCTCCAGCTCAGACTGCAAGAAGATAAGCAGCCATGTTGCCAACTGTTCCCAGTTGAATAAAAATTAGACGAGGCAAAAAAAAAGAGCACTAACTGCTCTTCCAGAGGACCTGGGTTCAATTCCGAACACCCACATGGCAGCTCACAACTGTCTGTAACTCCAGTTTTAGGGATCTGACACCCTCACACAGATATACATACATGCAGGCAAAACACCAATGAGCTTAAAATAAAAATACATTATCTAAAAAATGTTTATTTTAGTCTTTAAATAATTTACTCATTTATGCAAGGTAATGTTTATACAAGACTTTAATTCCAGCACTTGAGAGGCAGAGGCAGGAGGATCTCTGTGAGTTTTCGGCCAGCCTGGTCTACATAGTAGTGAATTCCAAGGCAGCCAGAGCTACTTATTGAGACCCTGTCTCTAAAAAAACAAAACAAAAGAAACAAATTTAAAAACAATAGAAAAAAGGAAGGAAGGAAGGAAGGAAGGAAAAGACATACTCAATGGCAAAATACTTGAGAGACTCTGGTTTCTAGCTATCAAGCTGATTGTTAAGCATTAGGGGTAAACTGTTCTTTTTGTAACTTTTTTTTTAAGATTTATTTATTTTGGGGGAGGGCTATGTAAATATGAGTAATTAAAAATAATAAAAATTTTTTAAAGATTTATTTATTTTTATTTTATGTGTATTGGTGTTTGCCTGCATGTATGTCTTTATGAAGGTGTCAGATCCCCTGTAACTGGAGTTACAGACAGTTGTGAGCTGCCGTGTGGGTGCTGGGAATTGAACATGGGTCCTCTGGAAGAACAGCCAGTGCTCTTAACCACTGAACTATCTCTCCAGCCCGGGGCAAATTTTTCTTAAATTTACCAGTCAAAAGCATAAATTTTTTTGTTGTTGTTGTTTTGTTTTTGTTTTTGTTTGTTTTTCGAGACAGGGTTTCTCTGTGTAGCTTTGGAGCCTATCCTGGCACTTCCTCTGGAGACCAGGCTGACCTCAAACTCAGAGACCCACCTTCCTCTGCCTCCTGAGTGCTGGAATTAAAGGCATCTGCAACCACGCCTGGCTGAGTCTGGAATTTTTATTTATTTATTTGTTTTGTTTTGTTTTGGTTTTTTTTTTTTTTTTCAAGACAGGGTTTCTCTGTGGCTTTGGAGGTTGTCCTGGAACTAGCTCTGTAGACCAGGCTGGCCTCGAACTCACAGAGATCCACCTGTCTCTGCCTCCCGAGTGCTGGGATTAAAGGCATGCATGACCAATGCCAGGCTGAATCTGGAAATTTTATTAGCAATGCGTGGTGGTGAGTTATGAATCTGTGTGTTCTCTGTATACCTGTGTCAGTAAGGAAGGTTGTCAACCTCTCTCCCCTTAATTGTGTTCACTTGCCTTTCCTTGTGTACCAGCATCAACGATGGCCATGGGAAAGAATAGTGTCCACAGGAGCACACTTAACAGGAAAGCAAGTGGACTCACTTCGTGAGTGATGAGGTCTGGTGAGTAAGCAGCCCCTACCCATCTGCCTAGCAAATGTCTTCATCACCACCAACTACGATCAAGATGCCACCAGTCTATATAGAGAGAAACTAGCTTTCTTACCTGTTTCCTAATGCCATGATTCCAGTTTGCCCAAAAGGTTATTTGCATGTTAACCACTGCATATAAACAACCTTTATCTGGCATCATAATTGCAACCCAGTTATGATTCATATGACACTTTGAACTGGGAGGAGGGGCCATGCCAAGAGTGGCTTTACTTTTTCTCAGCAATTAAAGGGGGATATTGATTACAAAAATAAGTTATATTAAGCAAGATACAAGTTGTGCACATGATCCATGTATTTTCAGTCCTTTGAGCACTTTCTTGGCTTGTTTTTCCTTTTGCAGTCGTGACCCGGAGGGAAAAGGACACAGGTCTTCATTGCCCTCGGTTCTCACCCCCTCCCTTTGCACATGAGGTGTCCGGTTTGCTTCCATTCGCTTTAGTGCCTGGTTTATTTAACACCATTACTATCCCTTTTGTCAATGAGCTTTTGGGGGCTGCAGTGGTTGCCCTTGAGACAGAGCCTTTGTCGGGTCTCCAGGACATGAAGAAAGCAGCTATAACTGCACTTCCTCCCTTGGTCACAGTGACCATTATGATGGGATTCCTAGGGACTCAACAGCTCAGGGTTTTTCGTTTGTTTTTGGTTTTTTGTTTGTTTGTTTTTACCCAGTCTTTGTCTTTGCTCACAAGCCCTTTCTAATAAAATTGTAAAAGCTAGCACTACCTGCCCCCTCCAAAAGCATCTGAAATGTGTCCAGCTTATTCTTCACAGGACTAGCCTTTATTTGTAGGTTAGGGTTTTTGGTTTGGTTTGGTTTTTCAAGAAAGGGTTTCTCTGTATTGTTTTGGAGACTGTCATGGAACTCTGTACACCAATCTGGCCTTGAACTCACAGAGATCCGCCTGCCTCTGCTTCCCAAGAGCTGTTATTAAAGGCAGGCGCCTGCACCACCCAGCTCTAGCTTAGGTTTTTATATAAAGTTCCTTTATTGTGGACTAGACTAAGACTGGCTTGTGATGACTTATTTTCATATATGTTCTGTTCCATGTTGTTAAAATAAACTGTGCTGTTTTTGTTGTGCCATGAATTCTAACTGATTCTAACTGGCCTATAAAGATTTAATTTTTAAGATTTATTTGACATAATATTAAATTAAATTATGCATATGTCTGTATGAGGAGATGTGTGTGTGTGAGAGTGCAGGTGCTCAATTTGTCAGAATTGAACTTGAGCCCTCTCAAAGAGGGTTTAACCACAGAACCATCCTTAGTTTTTTTTCTTTCTCTTTCTTCTGAGACAGAGTCTTTCTAGTCCATGTAGCCCTGGCTGTCCTAGAACTCCCTATGTAGATCAGGCGGGCCTCAAATTCAGAGATCCTTCTGTCTTCTGAGTACTGGAATTAAAGGAACATTTCATCACTCTTGGCCATTGATTTTTTTCTTTTGAATTGCATTACTTTAGGGACATTCTAGCATTTGCTTCTATTGTTTGAACATTATATACGATGGAAAAAATTTTAAAAAAATAAATCTTGATGACTAAGTCCATTTATTCCTCTGTGCATTGTTTCATCTGGGATACAGTCTAACTTATCTGTAAAACACATATTTAAAAAAATATATTCATGGCAAGGTGGTGGTGGCATATACCTTTCATCCTGGCAAGCACTTGGGAGGCAGAGGCAGGGGGATCTCTGTGTTTTAGACCAGCCTGGTCTACAGAGTGAGTTCCAGGACAGCCAGAGCTACACAGAGAAACCCTGTCTTGAGAAACTAAAACCAAAAAAATAAAAAAAGTAAAGAAAAGAAAAGAAAAGAAAAGAAAAGAAAAGAAAACAAGAAAGAAAAGCAGTGTTGGTGTGTCTGAGTATGGATGCATGTTTGTACAGGTGTCAGTAGAAGCAGAAGATGGGGCCAGAAGCCCTGAAGCTGGAGTTAGAGGTGGTTGTGAGCAGCCCAGCATAGATGCTGAGAAGTGAATTCTGCTCCTCTGGAAGAGCAGCAAGTGCTCTTAACGCCTGAGCCATCTCACCAGCCCCTGATTTAACATGCATTTTCAAAATGCCATAATTAGCTGGGCATGGGGGTGCATGCCTTTAATCACAGCACTTGGATCTTGGCGAATTCCAGGCCAGCCTGATCTACATAGTGAGTGCCAGGCCAGGGCTATGTGGTAAGACCTTATTAAAAAAAAAAACAACAACTATTAAATATCTTGTTTACATACAGATGAAATAAATTTTATTCCAACCAAGTTTTTAAAATATTTTATAACATTGTTAATTTATTAAACAATATTTTATAATGAAAATGCCTTTCATTTTTAAAAATTAAATAGTAAAGGAGGGGGAAAACTAATTATTCTTTGCTGAGATCTGATATTCCCTACTATTCTGAGGCCAACTACAAGTACTATTTTTTCTCTTTTCTCTTTATTATTGTGGGGGGGGGTGCATGTTTTGTGTGTGGATGTATGGTGTCCGTGTGTGTGTGTGTGTGTGTGTGTGTGTGTGTGTGTGTGTCCAAAGTTTACCACAAGTTTACAAGGTATATGAAGTCTTCCTTGATGGCTCCCAGCCACCAAACCTGTCCATATTTACACAGGCTCCAGAGATATGAACTCTCCTCCTCACACTTGCTAGACAAGCACTTCTCTGCTGAGCTATCTCTCCAGCTCTCTTTTTGTTCTTTGAAAAAGCCTTTATTCCCTGCACTGGAGAGACTGCAGGAAAGCAGATAAATTCAAGGCTAGCCTGGGCAATTGGATGAGACTCTTTCTCAAAATAAGAAGTAACAAGAGAGCTGAGACTGAAACCATCACACACAAAGACCCTGGGTTCAGTTCCCATTGAAAAAATGCCATAAACCCAGCACTCAGAAAACGTCAGTGCTACAGAAAAATCTGTCATTCAAGGCCAATCTGAGCTACACAATGAGGCCCTCATCTGAGAGAGGGGGATAAAATAAAAACAGTAACAACAACAAAAATGAAAGGAGGAAACGGATGAGTAGTGTGTGCTCAGGGTTAGTGTTTACCCAGCATGTACAGGTCCTAACTTTAGTTCCCAGCACCCAGAGGGACAGGTGGAGCAGAGGGAGAGAGAAATAAGGAGTGAAAAGTCAATCTCTCTAACGTGCTTTCTGGCAGCAGTCAAGAAAAGATATAGATAGATGAGTCAGCAGAACAAGCCTGGCGTTGGTGGCGCACACCTTTAATCCCAGCACTCGGGAGGCAGAGGCAGGCGGATCTCCATGAGTTTGAGGCCAGCTTGGTCTCCAGAGTGAGTTCCAGGACACCTAGGGCTACACACAAAGAAACACTGTCTTGGGGGGGGGAAAAAGAAAAGAAAGTTTCTCAACAAATATGGTGGCACACATTGGTGAGCCCAGAATGTGAGAGGTAGAAGCAGTAGGATCAGACATTAAAGGCCAGCTTTAATCCATACCAAATTCCAGTGGAGGTCTCGGATCTCTCACCTATTCAGTTTAAGATTGGCCTGCCTGAGGTGACCTAAGATGAAGAGGCAAGAGCAGGGCCTCTATCATACACACCACAAAGGAGAAAGAGGGGCTTTAGCTAATCTCTGAGGGGGTCTCTGTAAGGAGCAGTCTCAGGTGCAGGCATCTGGAAGGAAGCTGTTGATAGCTTCTGTGTATATTGTCAACATCTGTACTCCCACAGAAATAAAGCCTTGCCATCCCTCTGAGCTGGAGGGAGGCTTTGCCCTTTGCACGGGTCTGAGGCACCTGGTTGAGTTCATGTCAACAATACACAGTCACTCAGGACTTTGTGGTTCCCCTCTCTTCTGCTTGTTGACTCAAGAGTTGAGACCAGAAGATTACTTTAAGTTCCAGACCCACCTGGGTTACTGAGTAAAGCCCCGTCTCAAAAAAAAAAATAAAAATAAAAAATAAAATAATAATAATAATAATAATAATAATAATAGCTGGGCAGTGGTGGCCCACACCTTTAAACCACAGGAACTCTGTGTTTACAAGCTTTTCAAGTGACTCTAATGCTCACCAATGCTTGAGAGAGCCAGTGGTGTACAGGAATGTTCTTGGGGGGCCTAGGTTCTCTTTCTGGTTTAGCCCAGCAGTTTTCTCATCAACCACAGCTGAATCCCTAAATCCCTCAAAATTCATTCTCCACTGAGCATAACAAGGAGTTTGGATGGATGCCTAAGGGCCCTGCTGGTCTGCAGGTCTATGAAACACCAGAGGCAGGACGAAAGCGAGTAACTGTTCCACTGATAAGAGTCATTCATTTAATCCACAAGTATTCAGAAACCTAACAGTGTTCTTTCCATGTAATCAATTCAGGACAGAAAATTACTTTTTAATTTAAAAAAAAGAAAACAAACAAACTGTGGGGCTAGAGAGATGACTCATTGGTTAAAAGCACTGGCTGCCCTTCCAGAGGACCCAGGTTCAAATCCCAGCACCCACATGGCAGCTCACAACCAGTCTGTAACCTATTCCTATTCCAGGGTGTCCTACTCTCTCTCTCTCTCTCTCTCTCTCTCTCTCTCTCTCACACACACACACACACACACACACATATCAATGTACATAAAAAACAAATTATATCTACTAAAAACCTGCAATATTTCTGAAAACAAATTTACCCATTCTCTGTCTACAAGATTCTCTTTCAGCATCTATTGGATTTGAAAACTGTGAGAATGACCCAGAGGACCTATTCCTCGGTGACTTCATTTATTTATTTTGGTTTTTTGAGGCAGGGTTTCTCTGTGGCTTTGGAGGTTGTCCCGGAACTAGCTCTTGTAGACCAGGCTGGTCTCAAACTCACAGAGATCTGTCTGCCTCTTCCTCCCCGAATTCTAGGATTAAAGGCATGGGCCACCATCCCCTGGCCTTGTAAACACTTTTGTGTTTGCTGAAGGGGCATCAGGACTGAGGAGTCAGAGACAAGCTAAATGGGATTACTTATCAAATTAGAATGTTTGTACCTTCATTACATCATCTCAACAACGTTATTAGGATTTCTTTTTGTATGCTTGTTTTCTGTCTGTCATTTTTGTTATTGGTTTTTCTAGAAAATCTAATTCCATCTAATCCGTCGCCTTGATTGTTGTTTGAACCTAACTCCATCCTTTATTGAACTTCCTTGTACCCTACCAGGCAAACTCAGGGCCCTGAGTGGGTTTGCTACCGGAGCATTCTAAAGCAGAGTTTAAATATCTAAATTAAGAACCTTTTTTAAAAAGAGTTTATTTATCTAGTATACAGTGTTCTGTCTGCATGGCAGAAGAGGGCACCAGATCTCATTACGGTTGGTTGTGAGCCACCATGTGGTTGCTGGGAATTGAACTCAGGACCTCAGGAAGAGCAGTCAATGCTCTTAACCTCTGAGCCCAACTTTTAAGAATAGACAAACAAAAAGTAACACTGATCTGACATTCACCTTTCACTGCTTTGCAAGGACAGGAGATGGCGCCATATGGCAGTGGAATGTCTCGGCTTTGGTGGGCTTTGGGGCCAGGTGCAGGGCGAGAAGAGGGCTTGGGAGAGAGAAGGGCAAGACCTAAACAAAGACTCGGGGTTTGAGAAAAAAACTACCCTGAGGAGGTCGTATGATTTGGTCACCTTTTCTTCTTTCTTCTCTTTTCCTTTCCCCTTTCACATATCAATGCCTTTGCACCTACTCCAAATCAACACAGCTAGAAAGCAATGTGTTCACTCACAGTAACGCCCAAGAACCAAACAAAAAGTCAAGTCGGAGGAGGGCAGTTCTTTCTCCCTTGCCTAGAAACCAGCCTTTGTTCATTTGGGGGAATCAGAACTCCCGGAGAGGAGAAGTGTTGACTAGGGGCTAAGATTTCTTTTGTGAAGCAATGTTCAATCGTGAAGGCAAAGTCCCCAAAGTCCCCAGCGCTGACTGCTGTCCAGAGGAATCCCACGTTTTAAAATGTTTAAATTCATAGAGAAGCCAGGAGGTGGCGCCAGGCGAGACGCACTTCCTGCATGGGACGCTGGATCTCGGTCGCAGATGCTCCAGGAGAGCCCTGGCCTGACCCGGGTCATTCTATCCCAACCTCTTCTTTTCTAATTTGTGAAATATGTTCACCCTCTCCCATCCCACCTCCTATTAAGTCCCCCAATTCCAAATGAGCCTTAGCTTACATTTTACATCTTTTATTCTTCCTAGATGGGATGAATGGAGCTTTGGAGGGACTTGAAGACGGAAACTTTTCTGTAGGGAATGAAGAATTCGCAAAGCATTGAAAGCATTTAAAAAAAAATACATTTAAAACAAAAACAAAAACCCAGCCTTGCTCTGAAGCTCCGTCACGGGACAGAAAAGCGCTCGGAGCTCCTGTCTCCGCAGGAGTGATGACCCAGCACATGCATTATTCTGTTCATTTGGCTTTTATCCTGTGCCCTTGTTTGGCTTCTGCTCCCTTTGTTTTGGCTATTTATTGCTACTTGTTAGGAGCAAGGAGGGCAGAAAGACCTCACGTACGTGCATGCCCTAGGCTAGTGAGTGAAGGGTATGGAGGAGAGAGAAGCTTCACCATCTAGCTTGAAAGTATCTGTGGTTTTCACACTCACTAATGAGGGATTTAGGATGTACATTCCGATCAGGATTTCTAGTCCCGTGGGGGAGCGCACAACAGCTCACATTCCTGAGACGCTATGCAGCCTCCATGCTCCACTGGCTAACTCCACGGTGGCAGGTTTCACTCGGTCCCATTGGACCCGCTGCGACCCTTTGTTGGGTGGGCGGGAAGCCCCTGGACTCCTCACCCCCCTAGTCACATGGCCTCTCTCTGGCCCCTCCCCCTCTTTCTCTGGAGTCCGCCTTTTTCTCATGGTGACAGTAATTGTTTCCACAGTCACCCATCGCCCCTCCTGCCCAGGCCTCTCTGCTAGGGGTCAGTGTCCTCTTCAGTGACAAAAGGCGCCCTAGATCTGGGCTCCCCGGGGAGGGAGGTGGCTGGGTCTGGTAGTTAGAATGCTGTCTCTCCCTGGTGCTGTGACAACCCCTCCCCCGCTGTGCACACAAATGGGCTTTATACGGCAAACAAAACCGCACCCCCACCCCAGGCTACACAGGCACGTGGACCTAAGCCTCACCAAGGGAAAGGGGTGGTGACAGGCACCGGAGAAAGACAGCACGAAAGACAAATTCTCCTCGCCCCACTTCTTGATCGCCACAATCCAGACTCTAAACTTTGACTTCCCACTCCCCACCTGCGCCTCGAGCCCCCAAATTCTGTTCTACTTCCCAAGTCTGAATTCTTCCTGGTCCCAACTGGCTCAGCTTCTCTTGAGTTTGGAAACAGGTCCCCCACCAGCTGTCCCACACCACCCAGGGATGTGCTCCTCAGGCAGGCAAATGAGAACACAGTGTCCTGGGAGAGAGGTGCGAAACCCCCCTTCCCTGCCCGAGAGATCCAGGGGACACCCTTCTCAGCGGCAGTGTAAATGGCAAAGGAAGAGCTCACTCCAGCTGGGCTCCTGAGCCAGGGCCAGGGCGCTGGGCTCCGCAGGGCCATCCTGCATGCCTAATCCGCTATTTAAGGAGCTGCTCGCTTGCAGCCCAGGCACCACCCCCCTCCTCACGTACACCGGTTCAGAGCCACCTTAAAAGCGGGAGGCAACTGTGAAGTTGCTGGCCAGTTAGTGGTGTAGAGACTACGGAGGGACAAACAGAGAGACAGAGAGAGAGAGAGAGAGAGAGAGAGAGAGAGAGAGATTTTATCCTGGGATCCAGAAGTTCGTTCTAACCTGAGGAAAATCAAATCCCTGGAAAGCCTGCAGAGAGAGAGAAGAAAAGAGCTAGACGCCAGAAACTCCTCTCTCTCTCCCTCCCCACCTCTTTCTCCCAGCTCCCAAATTCCTGGTCCCCTGTGTACCACTGTGGAGATAATATGTTGTTCTTCGCTTTCCTGTTAAAGGTGACTTGGATCCTGGCTGCAGATGGGGGTAGGTACAACTGGGTCTGTGCTAATGTCCAAGCCATGTGTACTTAAGTGGGGGAGGAGGTGTAAAGGGACGCCTAGGGGCTGGGGGAAACGGCGGGAGGGCGCTGTAAGAGTATGGAGGAGATCCCTCCCATTCTTTGCCTTTTCCTCGCTAGCCCAGCTTGTCCTGCTATTGCTGTAGCAGCGGAGAAGACAGGGCCACTGTGTGACTACTGACATGTGTGGGAAACTCGGCAGGCTACAGCTCTCTGTGCAGCTCCTTCCCTACTGCCCTAGTCCCAGGCAGTCCTCCTGCCCTTTGTTCACGCACTCTGCTAGTTAGGGAGAACAGGGGTGGGAAGAGAACATACTACAAGCCTGCCCAACTCAGACCCGGATTCCCACCTGATCAGATGATAATCCCACTACCTGCCAAGGTGTACAGAGAAACTAACCAATTGGTCCATTTCCCTGAAAGTAACGCAATGATAGAATTAGTTACTAGCCCTTTACAGTGTACTTTCAGGAGTGGGAGAGAGATAGGGTAAGACTATATTGAGAAATGACTCAGGAACACCTCAGGGACACCTATAACTCTTTTTTGTTGTTGCTTGTTGGTTTTGTTGTAGCCAGACTTGTCTCCAACTCACTATGCTGCTTAGTTAGACTCTTGCTTCTGCCTCCCATAGCATCACTGTGCCTGGCTTCTATACCCCGTTTCTGTGCCTCACAGGCCTCATTCAGTACCCAGCACATAGTAGGTTAGGCATTAAGGTTTGTTGGAGGAACTAGTGGGAGAGGAGTATCCTGAGAGCAAGAGGCAGGAGGCAGATGGAACCAAGGGACCCAATGGAGTCAAAATCTCTTCTGAGAAGAAAAACAGAAAGAGGGAAAATAGATACGAGTCGGCCTAGAGCATTTAATAGGAAGGGCAAGCACCTTCACAGAGCCAGGGCACTCAGCTGTGTGGTAACCTGCAGACAGTGACTGAGTGGATGCCTCCAATCCCACTCTGGCTTTTTTGTGGGTTTGTTTTTGGTTTTTCAAAACCGGGTTTCAGTGTAGCCCTGGCTATCCTGGAAGATCCACCTGCCTCTGTCTCCTGAGCACTGGGACTAAAGGTGAAGGCCAGCACGTCCTGCCACTTGAGCTATTTTGCAGAGTCGTTTGAGTTGAGGAATGAGCCTGCTGGACAGACCAAGGATGAGAGCCAAAACATCTTACAAGTCTGAACAGTTAAAGGAACAACAGAGACGCAAGGCATTGTACCACATGCTTGCAATCCCAGCACTCAAGAAAGAGGCTAAGGCAGGATTGCCACAAGTTCTTGAGATCAGCCTGAACCACATAGTGAACATTGGGCCAGTATGGACCACATAGCAAAACCTTGCCTCAAACAAACAAAGCAAATAAAGGACTAATAAAGATGAAAACGAATTTAGGATTTTTTTTTCAGTTTCTAGATTTAAATAATACAAGCCAATCTACAATTAGATTTCCTTTTCTCCTCAAAGCAGGTTAGCCCTGGGGGGTAGTTAGATCCACAGACCCCCAGCTTTTTGGCCAAGACAGAACTGCATGAGAGCCTGGCATGTGACACGGTTGGCAGCTCTCCTCTCTACACACAATGCTTCACTTTCATCCTATCCTTGCCAGCCTGGCTGCCTGTGCCCACCCACCCACCACCCTCAACCTAGAATAGACCCTAGTCTGACTCCTGCCTTCCTTGAGCCATCTGAAAGTGCAGGAACCGAGGTTCACGATGAAGGGGGACTTTGCTGTAGAGCTAAGTATGGCCAGAAAGGAAGAAATCAAATTGTTGTTGAAAGTTCTGTGCCTTCACTGTGCAATGGTGCATCAAGGCAGAGGACTTCTAGCCCCTCCTGTCGTTCGGCACTGCCACACACTGAACGTTTTTCTGTCCTCTTTTGTTCTCTATCCTTCCAAGCCCTCTGCCCACACACTTACCCTACCCCACCCCAATCTTCTAATCGTTACACTGACTTGGCTCCAGCTGGAGAAAAGTAAGGGTTGGGCAGCCTGCACACTTGGATCCAGGTTAATTTTAGTCTCCTGGCTTTATCTCTTTTCATTGCTCCTCCCTCTTTACTCATTAACCAAGGGCACAGCCTGGCTAGTTATTTTAAATAGGACCCCCGACCTTTCCACCAAGGTGTCCAGTTTCAGGACTTCACATGGGAAGTGCTGGAGTGTAGAGGGGAGAGAGGGAGCGGAAAAGGAGGGGGCCCTGGAGGGAGAGGAGAGCGGAGGCCAGGACACTGCTCCAGGCTGTGCTCACTCACTGGCTTCAGACCAAATCACTCTCTTACAGGTCACCACTGGACATACGAAGGTGAGAGCAGACCTCCAGGCCGCCTGGCACTCCTTTCACCCTGGGACCCCCTCATCTGACATGAAGACTTGTCCTGGGGAGGAGGAAAAGCTTTCCTTGAGCTTCACACACTAGCCCTCTTCTGCATGACACCCCACAGACACAAGCCCTGGGGTTTACACAGGTGGCCACTAGACCCTGCTCTAAACATTAAATCCCACATCTGCTGATTCAGCAGGAAAGCCAACGAATCCTCCGTAAATCGAAAATCCGTGTGGAAATGAAGGGAACTGGGTGGGGAGAGGCACAATGAGCTCAGTTGCTATTCTTTTGCCCCCCTCCCCCAACAGTCCTATCCCCAACCTATCTCTGAAACTGGACAGCCTGAGGTCTGGAGGAAGAGGCTGGCAGGATACTATGACTCTAGGGACAGTGGAACTCGATCCCTCTGAACTTCTGATTAAAGACTTCTCTGGAGTCAAAGCAAGGTCCAGTGTGAGAGTGAGAAGAGAATGATAGAAAGGATATCTGAACCCCAAGACTTCTTGATAGGGAGCCTCAGAGATACTTCATCTGTTTAGGGCCAGTTGTCCGCTCTGACTCTCCCTCCAACTATTCAGGCTTCCTGCCTATTTCCTCTTCCCTCTCATTTAGCTTCATTGTTCTCAAACAACAGGTGAGTGAAAGGGACCACTCCCCCACTAATTAGGGCAGCTGGAGAATCGCCCCTGCTCCTGGGGAGGTGAAGGGTGCTGCAGCCTAGGGGACTCCCACCCACCTCACTCAGCCCTACTCACTGGGTGGAGAGAAGTGGATTTCTATTTCTACTGTAACATGGCAGGGAGTACTAAATGGTGGCTGGGGCTATGGGGCAGGACAAATGTCCATGAAACTTACCCCTCCACCAGGCCCACATGGTCAGGACCACTGGCCAACCTCTTACCCTGAGTGTGGAGGCAATGCCCAGTCTCCCATCGACATCCAGACAGACAGTGTGGTGTTTGACCCTGATCTGCCTGCTGTACAGCCCCATGGATATGACCAGCCTGGTACTGAGCCTTTGGATCTACACAATAACGGCCATACAGGTAAAAGACTCTACTCCAAGTAACTACAGGTTCTAGCTCAGACCTTAAAGAGCCAGAGGGAACAGACTCCTAACTTGTGAAATCTCAAATACTCCACTAATGAATGTGGACAAATGAAGTTCAGAGCCAGGCTGACGGTGGTACAGGCCTTTAACTGGGCCTAGCACTGGGGACTCAAAGGCAAATCTCTGGGAGTTCAAGGCCAGCCTGGTCTACAGAGGCCACTTTGCTAGAAAAGTCACAGCCTGGGAGGAGCCAGGCAACTCTGGGAAGGAGAAGGGAGAGGACAGCCAAATGTCCCCAGCGGTGGCGAGTTGAGGGTTGAGGTGGGAACTGCCCACATTCCTCCACCAATCCTCCGTCGCCCTTTCCTCACAGTGCAGCTCTCCCTGCCCCACACCTTGCACTTGGGTGGACTGCCCAGAAAATACACAGCAGCCCAGCTCCACCTGCACTGGGGTCAGAAAGGATCCCAAGAGGGCTCGGAGCACCAGATCAACAGTGAGGCCACCGCTGCAGAGGTATGACTAGGACAGGGGAGGCAGAGGGTGCAATTCAGTTGATCTTGTAGAAAGGATCGATCTGTACCCTTAAAAAGTCATACTGAAGGGACAGAGGCAAAGCTTTGGGGGCAGAGACTTAGATTGGGGAATTGCGGTGGTGACAAAAGTCCAAGCCCTGGAAAGAAAGAAGAAACATGGAGTAGTAACTGGGTTCCTTCTCCCTTCCGACAGCTCCATGTGGTCCATTATGACTCCGAGTCCTACGGCAGCCTGAGTGAGGCAGCTCAGAAGCCTCAGGGCCTTGCTGTCCTAGGCATCTTAATTGAGGTCAGTAACCCCTAACTCCTCTCAGGTCTCTCTCTCCCTTTTGTTCACATCCCTCAGGCCTGTTCTGTTGCTGGCCTCTCTGTGGTATTTACCCATGCACTCTTACTCTACCATGCACTCCCTTCACAGGTGGGTGAGGCTGAGAATCCAGCCTATGATCACATTCTGAGTCATCTGCATGAAATAAGACACAAAGGTGAGTCCTAAAAACCTACAGTGAGAATTCAACTGCAGCCTGGAGGTGGTGGCATATGCCCAGCACTTGGGAGGCAGAGGCAGGCAGATCTCTGAGTTCCAGGACAGACAGGACTGTTGTTACACAGAGAAACCCTGTCTAAAGAGTTCAACTGCAGAGAAACTTTCACAACCTAAGATGCTTGGGGAGGAGGCAGAGAGTTGGTAGTGCATTCTGCCTAGAAGGATCCTGTCCAGGAAGGTTGACTCTTGCTGTTCTCCCTAGATCAGACAACCTCAGTGCCTCCCTTCAGTGTGAGAGAGCTGTTCCCCCAACAGCTGGACCAGTTCTTCCGTTACAATGGTTCGCTCACAACTCCCCCCTGCTACCAGAGTGTACTCTGGACAGTCTTCAACAGGAAGGTCCAGATGTCATTGGGACAGGTGAGTGGTGGACAGACGAACAGCTGCTTTAATATCAGACCTTGCCCAGGTCCCAGAGTGACATCTACCCTCTTGCTCCTCAGTTAGAAAAGCTCCAGGGGACACTGTTCTCCACAGAAGAGGAAGGACCTGAGCCCCTCGTGCAAAACTACAGAGTCCCCCAGCCTCTCAACCAGAGGACCATCTTTGCTTCTTTCATCCCAGGTGACTTGCAGGGCTCCGAAGAGATGGGAAACTGAGGAACTCAAAGGCATGGAATAGTCAAGCCCTGGGCATGAAAAGGATAAGGGAGGATTCCCACATACTTGGACTGGGAGCCACCCCCAGTCATGATGCCAGGTCATTTTCCAGGTGTGGAAGCAAGAACTTCCAAATGGGAAGATGTTCTGAAACTCCCCTAACCCAAGTTTTCTTCCTCTACAGTGGGACCATTGTATACCACAGGTAAGACAGCCCCATATGGAAATGTGAGGGGGTGTGGGTCCCAGCAAAAATGGAAAGACTCGGTGCCTGTTAGACTGTGCTAACAACTTTACTGGACTAACATCTTTATCTCCCCTAGGAGAGATGCTGGGTCTAGGTGTGGGAATCTTGGCTGGATGTCTCTGCCTTCTGCTAGCTGTTTATTTCATTGCTCGAAAAATTAGGTGAGATTCTACTTTCTATCCCTGCAGTAGTTTATTTTCTATTAAAGACTATTCTCAGAGGCTAGGCAGTAGTGGTGTACATCTTTAATCCCAGCATTTGGGAGGCAGAGGCAGGAGGATCTCTGAGTTCAAAATCAGCCTGGTCTACAGAGTGAGTTCTAGGAAAGCCAAGGCTACACAGAGAAACTCTGTCTGAAAAAAACAAACAAACAAAAAAATGCATTCTCAGCCTGGCATGGTGGTATACACCTTTAATCCTAACATGTGGGAGGCAGAAGCAGGAGGATCTCTGTGAGTTCAAGGCCAGCCTGGTCTACATAGTGAGTTTTGAGACAGCCAGAGCTAGGGCTATAGCTCAGTTTGTGGCACGCTGACACACTTAAGGTCATAATCAGAAAACATATTGAGGTTTTTTTTTTTTTTTTTTATAAGTATTTCCTATCCTATCTTATCCTATCCTAACCTAATTTTCACTTGGGGACACTATAGTCACTCCCATGAACCACTGCTTCTCCTTCCAGGAAGAAGAGGCTAGGAAACAGGAAGAGTGTGGTCTTCACTTCAGCACGGGCTACCACAGAGGCTTAAACTCTGTCTCAAGATGACATGGATGCCTTCCCTCACATCTGTCAGGGAGTCTTTCTAAGGGGTGCAGGGACTGGACTACCAGTCCAGACACATGTCCTTTTAGACACCACCTCCCCACTCATACACCAGAGAAGCAAGGACCCAGTTTAAGGATGAGCAGGTCGGGAGGCCCCTGCTTTAATGTGTAGCTATGAAGAAGCTGAGGACATGCCCTGATACCCTCACCTTCGAGGCCTTTCCTAGGTACACCTAGATACATATCTCGATACTTTTCCTCTAGGAAAAAGAGCTGCTGCTGGAATTTTAGTCATTTTTTGCTCAATATATGTTTGAAAATTCAAGTTTCTGACCTTAATTCTGGCCTGTCTTGAACTTTCAAGGGTGGGAGAGTTCTACTGTCCTCTGGATGGTAGAGACAGACAGAGAAAAAGAAAACTGGGGGATTAACTCCTTGTATCCTATTCCTGGACAAGGAGGAATCTACTTCTAGGAAAAGTTAACTCAGTTTCCACAAGCTAAACCACCAACCAATGCTTCCGTCATTACACCAAAGCTACCAATGGTGAACACTGGTTGCCAGGCTAGATAGGAGGATGGACCAGAGCCGCAAGGGGCTAGAAATCTCAATCTATTATCCCCTCTCTTAAAAGCCAAGTTCCCCCACAATTATAAAGTCCTTTTTATTTGTCAAAATCACAATCACCTTGATTAAAAGGATGGGACATCCCAACCTCAGCAGAAAAATGATACAGTGATAGAAAACCTCCCCAGCCCTCCCACACCCCAATTAAAAACTAGAAAAATGTCTGCCCTCTTGGCCTGCGATGCCATGGTAGTCTATCTCCTCCAGGGACACTGCCATGGAGTGGGCCAACCCCCACAACACCCTCCACTTCACCTTGGGGAGAGGAGGGGTGCTAATGGTCACGGACATTAAAACGTAAGTTCCAGTGGTACCAGTTCCCAAACATGCACTTCCTTCCTTTTCCCCAGGGCCTGGGACCAAGGGGAAAAAGAGATAGAAATGAGCCATGATCAGCAGTTTCAGGAGCAAAAATACAGCCCAAGGAGGTTAGGAGGCTCCCAGTACACCTCCTCCCTCTCCCCACTTTAAAAAAAAAGGCATTTCTGGGGTCTTTATCATACCAAAAATGGTTCCTTTCAGACCTGAGAAAAAGACCATGATGTCCAGTCTGGGCAGGAGATACAGGAAAACTGAACTCATCTACCCTTGAGCCTCCAGTGACTTCATCACCAGGGCCATGGCTAACCTAGGTCCCTTTTCTTGGCAACCTGCACTGTCCAGAACTGGAGATGGAGAAATACAGGACGAGGAGATCGGGAGGGCACCCCAGGCCCAGGGGTCCCCCCCATGTTCCCTTAGTCCTCGGGTGGGATGCGCAGGGCAGAATACACCATCACCCGACTGTCCTCCTGCCGTCGGCCTGCAGAGGGGAAGCGGGGTGAGTCATGGGCAGGGTGAGACCAGAGCACTGACACATGGGGAGACCTGGACAAGGGGCTCCCCAGGTGGTGGGGAGAAATGCAGATTCAAACCCACCAGTCCCTGTTGGGCTGCACCCAGGCTGCTCCTGATAAAGCTTAGAGACTACAGGTCACAAATGGACAACGCCACACCCGGAAGGTAGCGGGGCACATCAGCGAGGAGACGGAGGATGTGGGCAATGGACCCGGGCTGGGGCTGGGCTCAGTCATGGGCAGTGGACAGGCAGATGGGATCTGTCGGGCGAGCAGTCCAGGTAGTCAGTCCTTACACGAAAGGCTGCGCTGGATACTTCGGAGGGAGCCTCCAGCTGTGATGAATGCCCAGAGCCCCATGGAAACAGTGACTGCATAGATGGGCAGCAGGCTGGCCTCATACCAGGGGTTCAGGAATGTCTGAGAATGAGGACAGAAAAGGGGTTAGATTCTCCCCCGCCTGACCCCAACATTAACTTTGTACCTCTGAGTGAACCTCCCCCTCCCCCAGACATCCTACTCAGACCCTGATTTCCCTTCCAAGCACCAAAAGCTTGCAGTTAAGGGGACTTTTGGCTTCAGATTTCCTCAAAGGCTTCAGCTCCTCCTATTCACCTCAGGCCTTCTGAATCTGTCTGACCAAGCAAGTGAGACTACTCCCCATAGCAAGTGGCCTAACTAAGGCCGAGGTGACAGAGCCTTGGAGACTCACCTCTTGGACTCCACCCAAGGTCAGTTAAGTGAGAACATATACCCCATATCCCACTCACCATGAAATGCTTTCTCCCTGACTCAGGCCCCTATCTCCAACTCACCAGTCCTGATGTCAGTAGGTGACTCCCAACTACCAGGCTCAAAGCCCAGTACCGTCTCCTCTCACAGGCATCAAAGAACACAACTCCCCAAAAGGTATGGAGCAGGATAATGGCTGCGGTCAGAAAGGCTGCAGGGAGGGAGATGGGGAGGAGATGCGTCCCTGACCTTCTCCCAGCCTCCTGAGATGCTGAGCCAGAGGAGTCTCCCAGGGAAGGGCAATAAGTCAGATCGGGGCCAGGGATGGAAAGGGCATAAAGGCGAGATTAGAAGCGAGCCTTACCTGAAGTCAGGAAGTAATAGGGTGAGTCTCCATGGATCCCAACCACACCTGGCCCAAGTGCATCGGCCAAAATATTGATAACAGAGAAGACACCACTGATGATACCGAAGGACAGACCAGAAACTGGGGGGGGGGGGGGGGGGCCCATCATCACCAGTACCGCGTCCCCATGCCCAGTGAAAATTCTACCATACCTACTCTCCCTCCAGACTGCCTCTCCTTGGATGCCAAGTATGAAGAAAAATACTTAGCACATGTGGATGTTTAGATTACCCTGAAAGGGAGGAGGGGTGTCCAACTCCCTCCTCTGGTCCCTCTCCCTTGGCTCACCGTAGGCCATCTGGCGGATGGAAATGGGTGATCTTCCGTCCTCGCTCAGTGATGCTAAGCCCTCATCTGCCTTCCTGGGATAAAAGAGAGGAAATATTAGGGAGGACAGGGATGTTCCTTTACCTTTAATGACCCTTACTCCACCCACCATCCAAGGGCTGGCCCACTTCCCACAATGCACACCACTGTCCCCTCTCCCTTCCAGATCATCCTTTGTCCTTACTTAAGGAGCTTGTAGTAGGCAAATCGGAACACTTCCTGTAGAAGGACAGAAACAGCAGCACCAAAAATCAGGAGACCATACTGGAGCCGGGCATCTGATCGGTCTGTCACATGGACCAAGATGAACCAGACCACAGAGGCCAAGAGCAGGGAGACCAGCCAGAAAAAGGCTCTGAGAAAACACAAGGGCAATGAGAGAGGCAAGGATAGGGGCAGCCAGAAAAATCAAGGAGCGAACCAGCCAAGGCTGCAGCATGAAAAGTGGAAGTTAGACTTCCGGATGGTCAGGAAGACAGGGACCAGATAGGATAAGTGTCTTCACCAACAGACTCATCTGTAGGAATCTGCAAGCAGCAGAAAGGGAAGAAATCTGGTTAGAGTCTTCAGTGAGATGAGAGTCAAAATGTGCGGGCTCGGACGGACCGGCAAAGTATCCATTCCTAGGTTCTCAGCTGGCCGAGGTCAGCACAGCCCCCTCACTGGTCTCGGCCTTGGGCCTTCTCTGACGTTGCCGGGAGGACTATGGGAGTCATCTGTGAAATCCCTGGAAGGCGGAAGCCGACTGCGGAAAACTGCCTAGACCCAGATTTGACCCTGTCCAACCTTTTCCTACTTCTGTCCCCCAAAACTCAGGCTCCCAAGCTCACCCCAGTTCCTCCAGCCCTTTCCGCATCGTTTTCTCTACGACTGGACCCGTCTCCACCATTCGCTACTCACCCCGCGACCAGGATGATGACCCGAAGCGGGTCTCCTGCCACAGTGATCAGGAAAAGGGCGAAGGCTGGGCCGAACGCGACGAAGGTGCAGCCGAAAAACACAGCAGCCCCCATGACTGGGCAGCTGGGGGCGGGAGGGAGCCCCGGCCAAGGGAGGCGAAAGGGAGCAGCGCGCCGGGGGGTATTCCGCGTGGGGCGGCGACGCAACCCCAGGAGGGGCGCGGTGCAATGTCACCCCCGGACCCCGGGGAAGGGGAAGGGGGGGCACCGAAACCCCGGACGAAGGTCCGCCCGACCTCGTCTACGGAAGCCGAAGAGGGAACAACCCCCGGTCGCTGCCCCATGGCCACCTCCCATCTAATCCCCACCCCCGGAAGGCCAATGAATACTTGATGGGGCGGAACAGCAGAGACGGGGGCGCGGCAGCGTGGCCTTCTGGGAGTTGTAGTCTCCCGAGCCTTAGCGCCCTCCACTTGGTGCTGGGAGTGGCTCCAAAAGAGTGGGTCGGGACTGGGCCCAATCAGGACAAGTATCCCTGGGTTCGCTTGCGCCTTGGCGACGGTTTCTCTTTTCTTTACTGTGGAGAAGGGTGATAACCCTTCTTGTTTCTAGAAGAGCTTTGGCGAGCAAAGATGCGTTTTGAATCTAGAGAAAAAAAAAAAAAAAAAAAAAGAGCCCAGGATAGGGATTGTAGGAAGATAGGGACTGGCATTGTTCTTGCTTGAATTAAAGGAAATGACCCAGAGAAGCACCCTAAGGGATCAAAGTTGGGCTTAAAAATTGGAGCTCTTTGAGCAGCCTCGTATAGGAATTATGTAGTACAGTCTGTCTCAAATGAAGACTTTGCCCGTTTTCTGTAATGACAGAAGCAGAGCAGCAAGAGGAGCCAGGAGAGAAAAGTTAAGAAAACGTTTAGAAAGAATCCAGGAGTCAAAAAGCAACAAGAGCAATGGGAAGGAGGGGAAATGACACCCTCCCCCCACCCACTCTGAGCTGCTTAGTTCCTTTGATGTCATACTTCCTGTATTTATATTTATATTCTGAAAAATAAACTTGAGTGGTGTCTTTTCCTCAAGACGGGGGGTTTCATATTAGAAAGAATCATCATTTGTATGAGGGCAGATTGGCCCTTAGGAGATGCCTAAGCAAAGGAATCCTACAATGGGATCATACCTGAAAATTGTTTTTCAGAATTTAATCAAAGCAACAACAAACTACAGAAATTATTTGAAGAAAACCAGGCTTCCTGGAAGTGATTTATTTATTTTTGATTTGGTTTGGTTTGGGTTTTCAAGACAGGGTTTCTCTGTGTAGCTTTGGAGCCTGTCCTAGAACTCACTTTGTAGACCAGGCTGGCCTCGAACTCACAGAGATCCGACTGTCTCATCCTCCCAAGTGCTGGGATTGAAGGTGTGTATCACCAAGCCCATTGTATGTGGGATTTTAAATATACTTTATTTTCTTCATGTATTTGCTTTATATCTTGTTTTACAAAATTAACAAAGTTCACAGATTTATGTCAAAATGTAGGTAAATAGTTGACTGGGATCATTTTTGTCATCTGATTTCTTCTAATCTTTATTTGGTTTGGTTAGGTTTAGTGTGTGTATGTGGTTTTTTGTTAATTTGGTTAGTTTTGTTTTGGTTTGGTTTTTTGCAACAGGATTTCTGTTTTTTGTTTTTTTTTTTTGAGACACAGTTTATTTTTTTGTTTTGTTTTGTTTCAGTATTTTTATTTTATTAGTTCAAATTAGGAACAAGCTTGCTTCAGGTGTCAATACCACATCATCCTGCGCCAGGCCTAGGCCCTTCCCCATGAGACACGGTTTCTTTGTGTAGCTTTGGAGCCTATCCTGGCACTGGCTCTGGAGAC